TATACATCATAACATTTCAAAATTCAGGAAAAATATAATAAATACTAAAATGGTCATTTTACACAAAAAATTTGAAAAAATTGTGAACCATTTAATTGTCTTATCATGTTGCATATTCTCATAAATGATTTATATAATTTATTTTATAAATTTAGAGCTGTTTTATCTAAAGTATTTTATGCCTATCTCCAATAGGAAATGGGTCAACCCATAGATGGACCTAGAAGAGGGAACATTTGGGTGGTACAACAAAAAAATAGTGAAATTAACATAAAATATAGTACCTTAAAATCAATTGTTGGTAAATGCATCAGACCCAAGGGATCATTTTAGAACCATTGAATTGTCTTAGAAAATAAATAAAATCAGTCAAAGATCTAAAGATTATTACTCTTCCTAAATTTCATAGTGAGGAAAAACCATTCGATCAATGAAATCAATGATTGTACCTCAAGGGATTAAATCATTTCTCTTCAAATCTACTTTCCCACCTTTAGCCATAGAGTTCACACCACAAAAACTAATTGTTAAGTGTATAAGATCATTAGTTTTTGTCAAACTTTTGATTGAGTACTTTTGGTGTTTGCCCAAGATAGATTGTTAAATAAAGTATAATAATACAGAGCCATAAATCTAGATAAAGTTTTGAGGAAATACTTAGGGCCAATTAGAGTTTTGAAATCTGGTGAATACTTTGTAAGATATTCAACTTCAATGTATAATTTACTAAAGTTTTAGTAGACTTCAAGAACTTAGTGTCACAACTAAAGTTTTTTAGATCTAGGGTTGTGGAGTGAATTTGCTCTAATAATAGGCAGAATAGGCAATGGTTCACTAATGTGACTTAGTCGTTGTATAGTAAATCATGTAAATTTAAAATTTATAAAACTAGAAAATACAAATTTTTGAATATTTAGAAGTATTTCTAAACAAATATATAATTATAATTCAAAAAAACTTCCAAAAATAGTGATAATTTTTCAAGTTGATCATAAGGATGTAATATAATATCTGGTAATTATTTAGAATTTTCTGCAAAGAATATTATTTTTTATAAATTTTATACTAAGAAATAAAAAATAAATATATTTAAAATTTATGAAAAAGGGAAATAAGGATGCGGACATCAAGATAATGTCAGCTCCTGGCGAACGTGAATCAGACAAAAATAGAATTCTACTCGGTGATTCTTAGGTAAGTAATTACAGATGATTTAATTGATCAAATTAAGATCTATAAAAGTCAGAAGAATCGTAATTGAATGAAGTATATCTTGGTAAATTTAAATCACACAAATTATCACTAAATAAAGTAGAAATTAAGTTAAAAGCAAGAAAACAGAGTTCTAGCATCGCAGCGGCAATGCGTCAGCGATGCACCTGAATCCTAAGCATTTGGGAGGATCATCATGTAATGTCCATGATCTCGAAGGCTCTCTTTAGATAAGGACGACGTAAGTAATCTCTAGATCTCCTTGTGAAATCTAGAGATTAATGAAATGGGTCATTGAATCATCTTCGACGACTATCACCTAGTGGAGTAGAAAAATGACGACTTTGCGACTCTCTAGTAGTTGTCACTCGACGGAGAGGAATTAGATGAAGGTGGGACGCATGTTAGGGAGCTTCATCTTTAGGTCCACGCAACAATAGAAGGCTCTTCATCACATTCGGTACGCTCTCAGGAGGTGGCAACTTGTCTCTCAATAGATTGTTTTCTTCCCGATGATGGCATGTTCATCGATTAATCGGAGATGCTTTACTCAATGGATTTGCGATTCTTTTATCGCAAATCGTTCAACAATTTTAGGAACAATAATCTGTGAATCACGTTGACAAGATTTTTACTAATGATTCAGCGATTCTAGTTGCTTAATCTTTCATCGACAATTTGTAGGAAAGTTGCAATAATCAAATTAAAAATATGAGTTTTGGCTCTTAGAGGATTCGAACCCACGCTGGTTGCCTGCCCTTTCTGGAGCAGGTGTGACACAAGTTTAGTTTCACATTGCTTGTGCGCTGAAGTTTCAGACAAATATATAGTAATGTTATATTTACAAGCAAGTCCCTTTCTCGTGCATGTACGACCACTCCTTACCCCACAGCCGCTTGGCCACCAGTGACATAGAAAGGGAGTGGCACACACGTGCTCCTATTGGTCCAAGTTGCTTGAGCCTCTGCTCGTGGCTACTCCTCGATTGCGCTTCCAACTCGCTTACAGGCCCGATTGGCTAGCATGTCCCCCCCATTTTGTTTTATTTTTATTTTTATTTCTTTTTCTTTATTTATCTCAAAAGTAAGATGATATAAATCATATAATTTGTATAAAATCACATAATTACTTAAAAATTTATGTTAATCAACTAAAAACTACTTTTCACACTTTAACACAAATATAAGTCTATTTATCATGAGTTAAAGCTAAAACTATATTATTTACTAATTATTAACTCATGATAATGAAGACTTATCATTCACAATATAATATAAAATGAAATATTGGTTGATCAATAAATTGAACGATCGTTGTGAGAAGGAAAACAACTCAACACATGCTCTCCTATTATGGAGCAAAGAGAATAGGGGCAAGGGAGGATTTCTGGGTATCCCAAACTATTGCTTGTAAGGGTAAAAATGGGGAAGTCCTAGAAGGGCTTTCCCCAATAAATGTAAAGGAAATTTGAATGTGAATAAGCAAAGGGGGTTGTTCCTCCTTTTCTTCCTATATTCTATGAGAGAGAATCTATTATCCTTTTAGAAAGAAAAGTTTGTTTTGTGGTGTGGAGAGGCTGTTTGGTGCTAACGTGGCAGCCAAGTCTACTTTGAGAATTGAGGTAGGTCAACCTTGACCTAATAACACATGATTGTTAGAGAATAGAGTAAGCTAGGTGAGACAAACAAATCTTAATTTAAATTCAAAAACTTAATTCATATTCAAGAGAACAAGAGTTAAAATGAAAAAACCCACTAATTGTTCCCACTTTGGTTCTTCATACTATCTTGTTATATAGGAAAATAGTTGATAGAGTAAAATATTATGATAACTAATGAACTCGATTTAGAAGTTAAATATGTTGTTATGATGTAATCAAGTTCATGCAAATAATATTTATAAAAACTCACTCTTTTGTTTAGGATAAGTAATAGTTAATTCTCAAAAAGTATAGGCAATGAGAGTACAAGTTCTACTTATTTTATTTAAGATTGTAAAAAGTAGAATTAATCTAATAAAGATAGGGACAAGAGCAATAAAAAGTTAACAAAAGAGAGAGAATAAATCTAACGTAATGAAATGATAAAATTAGTTCGAACTAAGAGTTAATCTATTTATGTAGAAGATTACAAAGACACCCCAAATCTAGATCTTGCATAGGCCTTATTGTGCATTAGTCCTATGATGAGTGGTACTTGATCCATGACGATCTTGATGCACTCTAAGTAGTCTCTTTTCCATAATGATCTTAGGCATGAGAATGTCATTGATTAAGTTTTGATTTTTTTCATTTTTCTTTTAATTAGCTACTACTATAGCAAGAGTCAAAAAACACCCTCTAAGAAGGGGGCGGGATACCTTAATCCTCTTGAGAATTAGGCCCCTCTAATAATTAATAATCGACTCTCTTAGTGGATAACCCAAATTCTTTCAAGAGGGCGCTGCTCTAATCCTTCTCTTAATCTTATCTTACGGCAGCCCAGATCTCATCTCTTGATATCTTTTTTAAGTCCAAATAAGTTAGGCCAATGTGTCACCTTTTCTTAGACCCATAAACATATTAAGTCGGCCGTCTCCATAAGGCTTGGGTTTTCCTTGGAGTGAAGACTTGGGCTTCTTTTATTACTTTTAACTCATAATAAAAACTTACCTAAGTCCTTGTAATCAAATAATTATAAAGAAAATATGAGAAAATCACTACTTGACTTTATAAAAGTCAAGTGAGATTAATCTAATAATATAAATAAAATAATATATATTATGACTTAAATGACAAAATATTGAATGTCATAATAAGTTAGTAACACATGTATAATTAACATTTATATATAATATATTAATGCATAAATGTAACTACTAATTTATAATTATCAATAACCTATTTAGCTACTGAAAGATATGAGAATATAAATATATTATGAATAATCAAAGCAAGTATTTTAGATTTCTTAATAAAGATCTTGAAGAAAATCTTATAACCTAAATATAAGAGCTCTTTATTACAAAAAAGGACTAGTTCTTTGGCATGTTAATGACCATCATTGGGCTATAGTAAAAGATAGTTAATGAGTGAAATATTATGACAACCCACATAGCCAATAGTTGAGATGAGAATGGCAAAAAGATCATGTACAACCCTCTCAAACATTTTGGAGTTAAACAAGAACTTTTCAGATGTTAGTGATTGTCATTTAAGTAAAATAATTGTTGACACTTTGTAAGTGTTGGGTCATATCTGTTGCTTGCTAACCCATTTTACTATTTCTGGTAGCAGCATCAATGCCTTATTATTTTTGGCCTTATATACGTGTAATATTCCCAAGTCACAAGTTCTGAAACTTGGGCCACAAGAGAAGCTTGACCTGCACCAATGAAGTGAGGAACCAGCTTAAAAACAGTACACTAATGTGAAATTCTGAGATTTTTCTAGAAGCTTGCCAGTGGTTTGACACAGCGACTCCACTAAAGAATTTGATCACCGACAGTCATTCTGTGGCATGACACAGGATGGCGCAAGCCAGCCAGGTCAGTCCCAAGCCTTCTGAAAGCTGATCTTATGTGGGGGAAAGAGAGAGAGAGGAGATGAGGCCCACCCAGTTCAAAGTATATGAACAGATCTCATGAAACCATCTTATCTATATAAATAACGCATCCACAGCCTTAAGTTTGTATATAATAAGGCAAGCCATCATAAGCGAGCAAAGGCTGGACCCACCCAAGTATTCTCTCTTGACTTCACTACATACGCCACATAGAAAGATCCCAGCACATGGGATTCAGTCATGAACTCAAGCTTTCACCTCCCGAGCTCTGTCCCCAGGAGGATTGAAATCCGCCATGCCCATATCCCCCTCATTGTGATGCTTCTGCCATCCAGCAGGGTCAGCCCGAGAATAAGCCCAATAGTACGTGAGTGCCACAACCAGGGAGATGAGAATCAGGGCCGCTGAGGCTCCGAAGACCCCCTTTCGAAGTGCCGCGCATGAGGACAAGTCCTTCTTGGTGAAGTTGCCCATGTACTTGGTGTGATAGGCATTCCTAGCTGAGCCGGCCACAAGGCACGCCTCCGCTGCAAGAAAGCTCAGCCTACAACAACAGAAATAAGGGTCGAAGTCAGGATGGACCTATGCTGCATAGCTTAAGCACATCAGACAGCAGCCACGGATGCCCACTTTTGGTGGTCAATTTCAAATTGCATGCTGTTCCTAGCCATGACCGCTTGGGCAAATGATTCGAGAAACTGACTTCAAAATTTTTAGGCCAACTATGATGATAGGTTTTCACTTTCAAGTGAGCGCTGTTCAAGCTTGGGGTGTTGAGCTCCATCCAAGAATGTTTCGGAACAAAAAATAAATCCGAAATGCTCTGCATCAACACAATCAAGGTGGTTTCATGGACGCATCAGGAGAGAGCAGGCCATAAGAGCAATGGACGAACTGTTTCGCTGATGATATGTTGAATTGAAGAAAAAGTGCCAGAAAAGGCAGTCACACCTCTACAAGAAACATTACTATACCTTAACATCTACAGACTAGTTTCCTAGTAGTGCTAAGAAAGAGTTATACAACAGGCAAAGAAATGTTTAACATAGAACCTACTAATGTGCCGACGAATAAAATCAAAATATAACTCATTAGTGTTCATCGAAACTAGAAGTAAAATGAAAGCACAGAAAAAAAAGGCTCCAAAAGACTTTCTAAATGCATTTGAGATTAAACGGGAAGCTAGGATGTTGAGATTCTCGGGAGTCGCAAAATCAGAACATTAAAAGCAGCAATGCATAGCCACGAATTTGAGAATATATAATCTTCAACTCGAGGCCAGTGTCCCCATTTTCACCAACCCTTTCAGTTGTTACTTCCAACCTTTTTGCAATCGAGTTTTGACAGGGTAGCAAAACTTGTGAGCACAAGTGCTCACTTGAGCTAATTAATTACGAAAAAATATTGACACACACGAAGAATGGCAACACTTTTGAATAAAGTTATCTGCCACATTTGTATCACATACGAATATGTTTACAGCCATTAACACAGCTAGTGACGACCATAGATTGATGAGATGCTGCCAGTTTGAACTTTTTGTCTTCTACGGATGAACAGATTATTGACACTCTAAGCCTTTTGTCTAATAAAAACGGCAGTAATTAGATGTCGATATTTTTAGACAGCATACTAGACTTTTTATTTTTGAGACTAAGAAGTTCAAATATAATGTGATGGGGCCCTGTTGACTCTTCAGGTTTGTTATTATTGAAGAGTACATGTTGCAGAATCAACAAAGAGCCAACTAGAGTACCAATCATGTAACTTGACAGAAGAAAAATGACGGACCAAACATCACTTCGTTGATGCATGGTACGTTGTCAACTCACTTTGAATATTTTTCACACTTTTTATGGATCAAGCTAATTTCGTTGGAGAAAAAATAAGCAAAAAAGTAATTTTTCAGTATGTATCTAACTCCAACTAGTTAAGATGAGGACACGAATCTGGTTCACCCATTCTCTGCATTACACATAAAGAGATTAAGAAAACAATATACATTGAACTAGCCCAGTCACATGTCCATCCAAAGTCCGTTCCCAATCATAGACTCTTTGAATTATTAAACACAAGGTGACTATTGATAGAAAGGAAACCATGCGAAACTTCTAATGTCAAAGTAATCTCCAACGGCTAGAGGTTTCCCTCAGCACACTAGCAAGTGGAAGAATGAACAAAGATAGTACTTCGTGTTCCAGATCAAGCACTTGAAAAATATCTTTGGACGTACTGAATCAGATATTTTAACACTTCAGGAAGCCAGCCCAGTGGCTCCAGCCCCCAATCAAGACAAACATACGAAAAATAAATTTCATAAATTAGCATTCAATAAACAACAAGAGAGACCTACTCATACAGCCCATGGAAGGCCTTAATGCCAGCCTTCTAATGATTATCAGGAAGTACTCAAAATTTCGTACTACTCATGACATAGGTAGATATTAAAGGACCAAAGCACATTTAGTTATCAAGTCCAAGATGCCAACATGGTGAGGTAAAATGAACCTATATTTGGCTGAGATTATTAATGGGTTAATATCATGCACATTCTACAAGATCCATATACTTCTTATAGTAGCCTCAACTAGATGGGAACATAATTCATAAAGTTCTTCAATTTAACATTCCGACCGTAGATTCATAAGACCCTCTCTTGACTAATCATGCTTTCTCAATGCATTCTGCAAGCAGGTGCATCATCAACTTTCCCATGGGCTTAAACACAAATATTTACTGACCAATAATGACCGACTTCCATGTCCAAAATCCAAACACAGCTATCTATAAAAGACATAGAAGTGATTGTGACTTCAACTTCAAGTTTATCAACAGAAAGACTGAATTTAGATAAAAATGTTTAATGAACTACCACGAGCTCCTTAATACATACAGCAGGGCTCTATGAGGGGCATTTGAAAAAAGTGACCCCAGCAGAATAGCGAAAGTACTACAACACCAGAAGTATCATGGCTTGAGCTACATACGACAACATCTCTTCCTTGGCTAATACACAGTACGCCTGGGAAAGTATATGAGGCTCTGGATTTTTCCGTCCATATCCTCTGGCTTGAAAAGCCATATGATGACAGCTAAAAATTTTCAGATATCTTTCGGCTTCAATAGCCTCATCAAAAGGCTCCTTTGAAAGTCTCAACTATTTGCAGACTAAGGTTTGACATTGTGTCCGGCCATAATTTATGACCAAAAGTGACCACAACTCATGGTTCATCTCTTGAGTCACAAGACAGTATAGCCTCCTCATAACAATCTATATACTGAATCACAGCAACTACACATTACTCGAAGTTCATCCACTAATCTAGGATCAGGTTCTCTAAGGGTCAAAAAATATTTTTCCTTCAGTTTGTTCTTCATTTCACCCCACCACCAGATATGGGGTTCTCCTCAATGCTCAACATCTCTTCTAATTGATTGTGCTTGGCCTGGTATTGTCGGGCCCATAAAAAGGCCCACTATTTGGGTAACCTATGCCCACAAGGGAAAGGATAAGTGACGGGATGGTTAAGTGGTAATGGGCCAAGTGGGGGTCCATTAAAGGAATTAGTACAAGAGTCCATAGAGGCTGTAACCGGGGGGGTTTTTGCAAGTCTTTGGGGAGAGCTGGGGACGCTCTCGAACTTGCCCTCAACCATGCTCTCTTTTCCCCTCTTAGTCCTGATTCTTCCCTTCTCATTCCTGAGTATCTTCTCTCTATTCCTCCTTGTTTCGCACTGTTATCTTGGGATCCTATCAGATTGCTAGTGCTCCCTGATTATTTTTGTCAAAGTTAATATTCAAATGATCTGGCATTTTGTGACGCTTGAGCAATACTTTATAAACAATAAATAGCATAGGACGACCTTCAGATCCAATAATGCCAACATGCTGCCTTGAAGAACCATTAAGCATAGTGTTCGGAATCTTTGTTGAACATGTCATCATGTCATCAAGGATGCCTAATTGGACAATGATCACATTTCCTCGGGATGCATGTCATGTTCAAGAAACATTTCCCTATGTGAATTTCTATCAAGGAACCCTATCATGTATCCTGACATCCTAATGAGTTCATCATGCTCTCGTTTGACCATTAAGCAGACAAGGTTCCAGACTTAACTTTAAAGCTGAAAAAATCCCTTCATTTGAGTCCCTTTCACTCTATATTGTGTGGACAATCCTATCATTGGCAATACTTGGTGACTCGTCTCATCAAGATCTTCCTTAGGTTTCCCAATAAAAGATTCTCTGAATATCTCCACCATAAAATCTTTTGACCTCTATAATAGTAGCAAGATTTAGAAATTATAAAAGAGCAAAGATAGATTGATCTCACAAACACTCACAGCACACTATCTATACTGATATTTATTTACATTTTATTTTGGCTATGACGTTGATAGAAAACTCTAAATGAGAAAAATTTACAAAAATGCACATGTGAAGTAAAGTAGAATGCAAAGAGATCTCAATAATCAATAGTGTGTGTCAAGTGGTTGTGAGGCGGGATGAGACATTTAAAGGGAGGAAAGAGGGTGCTGTGGAATGGGTGATAAGAATTCGAAAGAGAGGAACCTAGGTGGTTGACCATGGCTCTATTATTTTTGCTGATTTCTTATGGGCTCCAACTTTAGCTGGTCAAGATAGAATGGGCCTGGGTCAAACAAGCCTAGCCTTACCTATCATTAAGAAGGTGAATATCCAAACCACATATCCCCAATCGTTACCCATATTTGGTTCAAGGTTAACGTAGGAAGAATACTAACCCGAAATGCGTATCATCCAAGGGAAACAGTGACAGTGGAAGCAAATGAGAGAAGTGATGATGGTACTAGAGAGCGACCACAGCATCTCACCATGTGGACCAACATAGCTGATTAGTGACGATTAGCCGGTGGGAGTCAGCATACACAGGCACTAGTGCAAAAAGGGCTGTTAGTGAAGATAGGGATGGGGATGACCAACAGATGCAGAATAAAAGTAAGAAGGGTCTAGAATGTAACTGCAATGCGGAGGTGCTGAATAGAGAGAAGGACCAAGCCATGCTTAAACAGGATGGTGCAGCTTTATACAGAATAACAGCAAACTATAGCACCAGAAGATGGTGAACTGAACCACGAAGAGAGAGGGATGAAATAAAGTGAGAAGGGTTCTTAGTCATGTTAAGGTGAGTACAATAATTGTGAAATATCCTTAACTAAGGAGATCTGGGCAAGGTGGAAAACCATAGAAAATAAAATTCAGCCTTTGTGGATAAATGCCCCAAGAAAAAAACAAGTTGGTACGTTAAAGAAGTTAATGAACAATAAAATTTCTTAGGAAAGAAAAAAAAACAACATATTGTATCAAATGATGCCCCTGATTACCCCAAAATATTTCAAATGTATTCTGATCTAATCACACAGCCATACGAATTTTGGCACAAACATCTATTCCTAAAAATCACACCTAGAAGGTAGTTTTACAGCTAGGCCCTCATAGGCACCAAAAACTTATGAGCGTTGTCTGTAAAGTCTCTATCACTGCCAGTCTCTCACTCAAATAGATTTCCTGACAACAAATTCTTTGGAATGTTGAGCTTCAACAATCAAACTTTGGCAACCTTAACCTCATACAAGCCACTTATAGGCATCAAAAATCAAGTCACAATCATGGTTATGGAATAAGAGAGTTTTGCACAAGAAAATTATTATCAACGATTTACCAACACAAAAACACGAGAGATATATATATTTAGTGATCTCTTAAACTCAGTTATGGGTGAAATCTCATCATTCCATCACGAAATATAACAAGCACAAGTTGAGTGGTTCATATACCTTTTAAATAGTCAGTGACTACTTTAACGATCCAAGCCAATGTCATGATCTATTAGTAAGAAGCATAAAACAATGAGCACCAATGAACATCACTAGGCTGAAAGAGGATCTGCAAAACTGTGGCATCAACATTAGGACAATTATCTTATATATTTAATTCAGCAGCTAAAGTGCCAGATACCCATCCTTTTCTCCACATCCCTCAAAAAAATCAGGTTCCAGTTTCATATCTCATGAGCCTCTGACGGATTTCTCCATCCCATTTCCCAGCAACTATCCATTATGTAATCCCCTCTTGTGTAATCCCCTTCTCCCTAGCTAGTAGCAGCTAGATGGAGGCAACCTCCCAGTCCTAGTCATCGCCAATCCCACCATAAATAGACATTCCCATCTCCCTCTTTCAGTACATTTAGGCAGGCCCCAGGTTGTACTCAAGATCACCGACCAAGTCTTCCTAATTCGCCACATCCTTTAAACACACCGGGCTTATTCATCTAGCACATCAGTTGCATCCAACTTCTCCGAAAACAAGCATACATAACATGATATGGAGGTGCCCGATCCTGCCCCAATTCGTCAATCTTGTCACAAATGTCTCATGTAACATAGTTTTAATCAAAGTACAACATTGAATAAGATTCAAAGAAACTTGTTGGCTTGGGACGTTTCAAACCTGATTTTTTCTTCCAGTTATTAATAGTTCATAACCAAGTTTGACTTGACATCCGAACCCCTGGAAACTGATTTGATAGTATCAAGAAATTCTAGTTCACTGATTGGAGAGTTATTAATGCAGATATGGATATTGAATTACTAGTTTCCATAAAATTACCAAGTTCCATCTCCTTCTCAGAATGCTCTCCCCTGCTGATCTGAGCATATTAGCATGTTGGTAGAAGTTATTGCAGATTTGAAATGTTTTTCTGAAACTCCATGCTGGAAGAAACTACCTTCAATACCATATACATACAACCCATGTGTTTCAAGACATCAGAAATTTCAGGAGGACATGAAAGAAATTTGGCACCCATCGCCTCCAACACCTGTCTCAACAATTGATTTCTTTTTAAGTCCACTTATCCTTACGTAGAATATCTCTAGATGCGATTATGAAGTCAAATGTTATCTAAGGCCTTTCAAATTTTCAGGCTTCCTGAAAAAACAACATGGGAGACATTGTGATGGAGACAATGAGGACGAAAGTCCATCACGAATTGTTTTCCCTCCTGTGAATTTCATCCTCAACCTTGTGAATCTAGAACAGAAAAGAACAGATCTAGCATGAAGAGCTGCCAGATGTGGAGTTGTATTTTCCTCCATGTCACCAGGGTGTAGTTTACCACCCATTCCTATGACAACATGTTGGGGCTAGCATTAAGAAAAGCACTAGTAGTAAGAATTTGCAAGGTATGGTAGTTTAAAAATATCCACACATCCAAAGGGAAAATCTTAGTTACTGTTGATTCTGTGTGATGAGAGGTCATATCTTTCTTACCACTATCCTGTATAGGAATTTGCATCCAGTTAGGAAATCCGGCGAAGCCCTTACATTGTTTGGGTCAAGGTTCTTCGTCTGGATTTTTAATTTAATACATCTGCGTCCAGAGATAGTTTTATCCAACCATCTACAAGAGACGGTGGTGATCTATTGATCCTCAGAGATGGACGTCCCCCTAGTGAGATTCATGTGATGCATTTTCAAGTGAAATATTAAGAGTGAGAAGATTGATGCCATCTGAGATTCATATACAGATGCAAAGATGGGACAGACAGTTCAGAATGATGAGCAGACTTGCAGGAACCAATAATGTGAACCCAAGGGTACAGAAGGAGGATCCACTGGGAAGATTCCAACTTCACAGAAATCAAGAAACTTACTCCAGGCCTACTTAAGAACTGGTCTTTCATTCAGAATGACTGGCTTTTGTTGTTCGGTGAAGGGAGTATGTAAGCTAGGGCTTGGCTCTCTCGCATTGTTGAGCTCATCAATGGTCTTCTTAGGCACTGTGTTGTGTGGGAACATGAAAGGGTGGGTCTCTTTCCGTCTGTTTCTTGTTTCTGTGAGTATCATTGGCATGGATCATGGTTCTCATTCAAACCATTGTACTCAGTGTGCAGAACCCATTTTTGATCTCCTCTTTCTCCAGCTTTACGATATATTCTTTTATTGACCAATAATAGCATAAATTGGGCCCTTTACAACTGCATGATTAGGTAGCGTGATCCAACCAAAGCTAGCGCCTTCTACCCAGGTGATTGTGAGGACTTCCCTGAATCTCTAAAGCCATGGATCACCATGACATGGCCTCCGCACATCTTCTACGATATGCCCAGAAAATTCCAAGATTTATACAATCTTCCCATCCGATTCTCAAATGGGTTCTCCGTGAAATTTTCGGCACAAGAATCATATAAATTTCGTAATGTTCCAGTTTATTGAGTTCACTCTCGAAAAGAAAAGCATGGGAAACAATGAGAAATAGAGGCAAAATAAGAAAGAGAGAAAGCGAGAGCGAAAAAAAAGAGAGAGGAGGAGCTGACCAAGATAGAAAATAAGCACAGGCGGGACAGCAACGACGGCCGCCGCCCAAACCGCGGCCCAAGCAGAGGCACCCAGTGACCCCATTTAGCACGGCGTGGCTCACCAGCAGCAGCCCGGCGGCCGCCAAGCCGTAGGTCGTCGAGGCGTCAGAGCCGTACACGCAGTATGTCCGCTCGTCGTACTCGTCCGGCACCACCTTCCCCTGCGCCGCACGGCAATCCTCCGTTAGCAGTGAACAAAGATCGCGGCTCTTCTCGAGCTAAGCCGTGCTGGATGTTATGGTAGGTAGATGGAGAGGTGCCCGCCCCACCGTGTTCCGCCGCATCTCGGCGCCAATTGCAAAGACGAAGGCGAGAAGGTGTAATGACAACACCGCCACAACCACGGTAAGGGAGATCGCCATCGCTGTCTCTCTCTCTCTCTCGCTCAGAGGACACTGTCACAGACACTGAAACCCCCTCTCTCTATTTTCCTATTTCCAGGGGAAACAATCGCGCAGGGTGGTACTAGTCCACAGGTCACCCGTGAGACTTCCCGTTGACGGCGTCCCCCGAAGGAAAAGGACGCCATTTTTCCATTGATCAGTTCTGAAAATGGACGGGGGACCCGCGGACGGGCGAGGGGGGTTTAGCACTAAAATCCCCCAGAACCCGGATCCAACCTTGTCTAATTCATCACCCCGTCTACGATCTGGGTGAGTTGACCTCCGAAGTCCTCTCTTTCAGTTCGAAAATTAATTTGGGTCAACAGGATTAACAGCCGGAGAAGTCGGTCTCTGCCTGTCTACGTTGGACGGATGCGAACTAAAATAACTCGTGCATCTATCTAACAAAGTGAGATCACGAATCCTGTAGATAGACCGATTTTCTCGCTAAGAAATGATCCAAAAGGATGAGAAAGTTTTCTTGAAGGGCTGACAGTTGGCTGCTCCATCCAGTTTTGGTCGTGTTGAATGCTCCCTCTCTCACTCTCTCTCTCTCTCTCTCGCTCGCTCGCTAGGTAGTGGGCATCTTCCGGAAAGTAGAGCGGAAAGCAGCCAACAGCTACAGGATCAAGAAGAAAGAGCCCAGCCACATTAGGGGGAGGGGGAGTTGACTTTGTGCTGCTCAACCCGACCTCTATCAAAAGCCGCCACAATCAACGTCACCATGGCTTAAAGCCCGCCATTCCTGTCCAGCCAAGAAACCTCCATGTATCTATAGATAGCCAGGATCCATGGAAGTCAACGCCCCGCCGAAGAACCACGAATCTCTCCTATCCTCCACCAGCGAAAACCCAGACAGCGGCTACCGGAGTCCATCAGCTTCAGAGCCCGCTTCCTTCATAGGCGGGTGGCGCCAACGTCGTCACCTTCTCCATGCCGATCAGCCCGGGAAGATGAAGATAAAGAAGATGAAGAAGACGAAGAAGACGCCATTCCCCACCGCTGCTTACAGGGTCTTCCTCGGCTGTCGGCAGAGACGAACACCCTTCTTCACCGCCGCCGCATAGACGGAGCAGGCATCGAGAAACCTTCCGCGCCGATTCAACTCGGCGAGAAGCTTCTCGCAGGCGTAGGAGCTTGGAATCCTCTTCGCCCTGGTCATCATCACCAGAACCAGCACAGCATCGTCCGTTCTCCCCTGGCCGCAGAGGACTCTGATGGCCATGTCGTAGGTCAACGCCCAGGGAGAGAGCCCCATCCTCTCCATCTCCACCAGGTGCGTCAACGCCTTGTCCGAGCGCCTACCATTAACGAAAGCTTGGACCATCAGGCAGTAGGTGTAGGGTGAGATGCAGTGGCCTCCGAGCTCAACGATTTCCTCTGAAAGCCTCTCCACTTCCTCCAAGAATCCTGGATCTGAGGTGCTCCTCCTGCAAGCTCCTCTGAGAAGTGAGTTCATCACGCGGGTTTCCGCTTTCAGCCCTGCTTCCCTCATCTCCGCGTGAATTTTCAGGGCAGTGGGCAACTCCCCGGATCTCAGGAGCCCCTGCAGCAGGGTAGAGTAGGTGATGTGGTCGGGGGGGCAGTCTCCGCCCCTCATCTCCCGGAGGAGGCCGGCCGCTTCCAGGGACCGTCCTTCCCTGCAGAACCCGTTGACCAGAGCGTTGAAGGTGACGATATTCGGGTTGACCCCAGAGATTAGGGCCTCATCTAGCAGCTCGATGGCCTCGTCGGTCCTGCCCACCTTGCAGAATCCGTCGATGACCGTCGTGAAGGTGAAAATGTCCGGTTTCAGGGTAGGGGAGAGTCTTATCTTCTGCAGCAGTTGCAGAGCCTCCTCTATCCTCCCCACATAGCAGAGCCCGTTGAGCAGGCAGTTGTAGGTCTGGATCGTGGGGCTGCAGCCGACCCTGCCCATCGCCATGAAGAGCTCGTACGCCGACTGCAACCTCCCCTTCTTGCAGAGACGATAGATGAGGAAGGTGAAGGAGGCGACAGTGGGGGGAAGCCCACTCCTGATCATCTCGTCGGAGAACTCCTTCGCCCTCTCTGGTTCGTTCTCCTTGCACAGGTGCTGGATCATGATCGAGAAGGTCCAGCAATTTGGTGATAATCCGTACGCTGGGAGCTCGGAGAACAGGAGCTCCGCGGAATCGGGCTCGCCGTGCCTGACCGCGGTGAGAAGAATCTCGTTGAAATCGGAGATGCTCAGAATATCGTCTCCGCGCTTGAGAAGAAGGTCTTGGAAACGCTTCCCCCCGGGTAGATTCCCGACCCTGTGAATAACACCGTCTAGTAGATTCGTCGGAGAACTCGCCGGCGGTCGACCTGTTTGCTCACCGTGGTGGAAGATTTCTCGGCCCTCTCCTCCGGACAATGCCCTAATTTCATCGCCGTCCTCCTGAAACACTCCGTCAGCGAAATCTGGATGCGCAGGAGGCATCTCGACCTCCTCCGCCATGGCCGGAGAGCCACCAGTCCTCGCAGCGGAAGTGACGCCGCCGCCGCCGCCACTGCCACATTGGAGGCGGCGCCTGGCGGCTGGACGGGTATCCATCGCCTCTGGTATGGAGAGAGCACTTCCCTCCTTTCCGGCGGTTAACATTTCGCCCCATCTGCAGGAGGAGGTTTGAAGAAATCGGGCACCAGTCGCCCGGATCTTGGTGGAACAGGGCAGAGACGCAGCAGCAGCCGCGAAGTACTCACCTGGGCTCAGCTCACGGCAAGAGCAGCAGATCCCCTCCTCTCGCTTGCGATGAGAACAAGGTGAGAGCGCCCGCCGGGGAGATTGTGAAGAGGAAAAGGAAGTGAGAGGGAGAAAGAGAGAGAAAGGGGGAGGAGAGAGAAGGCAAGGCATATGAGAGAGCGAGCGAGCGAGAGAGAGAGAGAGTGGGTCGTGCGCGTCTCAGAAAGGATTAGTTGTCCCAGATAGACATGGGAGCGTGGGATGAGAGGGGAGGAAGAAGGGCAGGGTGGTGGTATTGGCACAACACCCGGCAAGGGTAGAGAGAGAGAGAGAGAACGAACTCCAGTGGTGAGGATAAGCGAGCGTTGAACTCCAGAGGTGAGGAACTCCAGAAGCAGCATTGCCGCGCCCCCCACACGGAAACAAGTAGATTTCGACGACCTCGTCAGTTTCCGTAGGGAGGGACTACTAGGCTTGGACCGAGACACAATCTTCTTATTGGTTGAATCTGACGTTGAATCTTAGAGGTAGAAAGTCAGTGAAGAATAGAAAATCAAACCTTGAATCGAAGGAACTGAATCACTCACTGATCCTGGAGAGTTCACAATACTCTTAATGGACGGTCCTTAGATTCAAGCAAATAATAAAAGGATGTCCATTGAATCCACTGGAGTCAGCCCTAATATCACTTGATGCAGTAGAAGTCAAGGGTGAAAAGAAATCAGGCCTTAAAAATCCACACGAATGGCAAGAGATCGGAATGTGAGGATGATAGCAAGTTCAGCCTTGGATATTAAAAAATGAATGGCTCAACCACATCTGAGTTTGCAAGGATTGATTTTTCATGATCAGAACAAATTCTTGAACCATGGGCAGAAAGAAATCTCCCAATTGAAAGGAAGATTGTATTATTTATCATCTCTTGAAGTTACGACTTTCATACCTTCAAAAGCGTAAAGTATATGTTAATTTTCCTTAAAAAAGTTAGGAAAAATATTCAAATCAAATAAATGACGGGTATACAGCATAGTTACTACCCAAAAATTTTGAGCTATTTTCCAATAGTTTTTCACAAGATTATTCGAGTATTGCACTCAAAGTCATTTTGGGCCTTTAAGACCTTGCATTCTACTTTGTTAAATTTTTTGGGTCACTTGGATAAAAAAAAGTCACGTTTCTTGTTTGTGAAGTAATGTACTCTTCAGCCTTCTCTAATTGATAGATACTTGCCCTTGGGTGTTCATCTATGTTTTTACAATAGTTATTAAGGTCCACCGCAATATACCTCAAAGATATGGCCACTTTTTTTGTGAATAAATAACATACACCATGTCATTATCTTCAGTTTGAACTTGTTATAACCTCTATCTAGATTCTCTAGTGTATGATGATTGAATCATTGGCTTCAAAAATATTTTTTCACTATTTCTTGTCAATTGTTGTTGAAAATTTCTGATAATCAAATAAACAATTTCTATTTGAACTTCCATGATTGATATGATGTGAACTACTATCAATGCCCAACACTAGGTCCCATTGCCGTAATTTATCACTTGGAATGTAATGAATCAAATTGGAAGTGTCTTTTAACTACCTCAGTTTTGAAGTGACATATATCAAATATTTTGTAAAAGGTATTTGTTATAAATCTCAGATTGAATATAATTTAGTTTATGTTGTTGTATTCTCATCTTCTAAGTGGGATAAATTTGTGATTAAATCTAATTTTAATCAATCAAGAGAGTTATTACATGAATCAACTACTAGCCACTTGGGGCTATAAATCTCTAAAAAAATTTCAGAATGAAATTATGTGAGAGTTGAACATGGTAATCTGTGATTGTGATTAAGATGTTAGATCTAATGAAGAAGATCAAGTGTAGGATTTATGACTTTAAATAAATAATTGGAAATCTTAAAAAGATTAGATCAAACTCAAAATTATAAATGGATCAATTCAATCCTTATTTTTTTAAATAAGTGCAACCTAAAATCTAAAACAATTCGTATAAGAGCCTACTCTATATAGAGAAAAGATTTTTTCTCAATTCTAGGTCTAATGGCTAACATCTTAGGGTATAACATAAAAAGGAGTTTACTCTATAGATTATTCCTATCCAATAGATTAAATTATGTTATATAAAAAATAAGGAAAATATTTTACTTAGGGATTAGGTTATCAACTGAGTAAGATTACTATGGATCTATTTAAAGTAAATAAAGATTCATTTAAGATCAACATAGAAAAATGTCTTCAATCAATGCTTGAGTTAGAACCTTGATTAAAGGGTTACATGCTAAAAAATTAAATCAATTTTTTACTTGTGAATCTATAGAGAATATATTAGATAGATTGCAAGAGATTAAAGAAAGAACCATGCATGTCAAATAATCAAAGATTTGAGGTTAGTTTTAATGGGTTCAACATGGCTAGGTGAAGCAGTAAAATGAGTGAATTGATTCTTATATTTTCTATTCTATTCTTTTATTGTATTTATGTGTATGTGTCAACATATGTTCACACATTTTCTCTCTATTATGTGCACAGGTTTTCCTAAATCAATATTTCTTTCCACATGGGTTGACTCTAGTTTTTCTCTCTAACTCATCATCATGAGACACAAGAGTTTTTATACTAGTTTACCCTTCACTGGGTTAAATTTAATTATTGAAGATTACTCTTAACAGAGTTCATTATTTTCTTCTAGAAACACAATTGATTTCACATGATCAATGGCCCAAACACATTTATAATCTCTATAAAGATTACACTCCTCACAAAAAGAGTTTGACTCTCAATACCAAGTGCCTAAGTTAAATATACTAGTCTCCTCAAAAACCATATTCTTCATGGACATTTGCAAGCTTTTAAGACTTCATGCCTTAGCCTAAGTCTCTCTCCACTCACCACCATGATTACCTTAGGGTCTAATGGAGAGAGTAAACCTTTCAAGTAGCTGTTAACTTGATTCATCACTATATAGTAAGTCATATAGTGCAACTTTCAACTATTTCTTTAAAGTATGCAGTAGCCTTGCTTTGACAAATGGAGCATGATCATATCTTGAACTTAAACAAATGGAGTGAATATATATGTTCATTCAGCATTATTTTTGGTTCTTTGTAAACTTGCTCCTTATATCTTCTAACATTCTCCTATTTTTTTCTCACCTCAAAACTTATCACATGAATTCAAAAGTCTTCCCCTTGCTTTGCTGGCATGCTGGTGACCTTTGATTGTTCCTCAATTTGAAACTTTCCATTCACATGTAAGTTGTCTTTGATATTTTGTTTGGAGATAGGTAATAAATCAATAGATATTTTTACTTTCCTAGTCAACCTAAATACAATCATTGAGTTTGTCATTTTGTCCACATATTCTATTGACATGATACTCTCTAATATGCATATCACAAACTTTTAGTTGCTCCTCACTTTGAGACATAATTCTCTCATAGATCATTTCAATAGCTTTGGTCTGAAGAAACGTGATGCTTCAATAGTTGTTTCTACTTCTGAGGTTGAGTCAAAGTTTATTAATTCTATTCTTTTCTCCATGTATTACACTAACGTGTTATCATCTAAGCTATATACTTCTCATGCATTCATCACATGGAACTCAAACTGACATAAATAAGAACCATTGTGCTGAAATATGTGTCGCACACTTGCAATATATAAAATCACTAAAAATAGGCATGTAAGCAACCATTCCCTTAATAGGTGAACAAAATTTCAAATAAGCATTTGAAATAGTCTAATAGTAAGTGATCCCCCTAAATTTATACATTCACCTAATTTTCTTCCCCTTTAATTATATTTTTCTCCTCTTTTTGTAAATATCAAAAACCAATGACATAAGAGGTTGTAGGGAAATGCTCAACAATGTAGATTTGCTAATCGATTACAAGATCACAAAAAAGCAAATTTAAACTCTAAAATCACATTCTCGAGGTTTTGAACTCATTCTACCATTATTTTGAGTCATTGCTCCACTTGTTTGACATGGGTAAGATGTAAAGGAATGTGAGAGCACGTGAAGAGGATGTGGAAGTAGAAGAACGATGGCGGAGCCATTGGCCATTTACTTGAAAATAGTCTATTTGATATAGAGTGGACTTATCAATTATATCATGAGGGTAACTACTAATTAGTTCTTCAACATAGGTCTCTATATTGAAATATTGAATAATACAAGTGATGCTGACACTAAGGGGTAGATTAAGTTCATACTTGAGAACTATCCTCATTTGATCCAAGAGAAGAGAGCTAAGGTCAAAATGAATGTCATTAATGAGATAGTACAAAATAGATACATATTTATTACAGATTCTATCAAATGTATTTTTTATGTGCCATAAGAGAGGGTTAATAAGAAAGTGCATGACTTGGTAAAACAATGGTGCATAAAATGTCTTGGTATTTTACATTGTTGCATTTTGTATTCTAGTCAACATGGATAGGAAATAATTCAAGGCAATTTGGTTAGCATAGAGTGGGGATCTAGATGATAAGTCAAGAATGGCATTTAAAATTTCAAGAGTGGGGTTAATCGAGATTCTCTTTAAATAGGTAGTGATATCAGTAGATGATTCAATGGTATTGTTATAGAATATTACAACAAGGTTTGGATAACTTTCCACTGGAGAAGAGACAAGATTGATCAGTCCAAGGGCATTAAAAGAGTGTTTCATGTTAATCCTTTCACATTCAAAACATTTGAGATCAAGAATTTTACATCGTTAGACTTTTTGTCCTTAAACATTTTATAAAATTTGACTTTGTGGACCTATAGTGGGCTTTAAGAGGGATGTTCTCTAATTTTTTGGTTTCTATATATGTTTTCTTGGATATTTTCTTGGGCCGAGAAGATTTGGGTGCTTTGGTTTTGTGAGGATTGGCAATTATTGGTTCTAGTT